GAAGAGAAGAGAAGAGACGAGAAGAGAAGAGAAGGTAACATAGAAGAAAAAGGAACAAAAAGAACAGACCTGCTCGCACCCTACCAGTTGCCAATACAGTTGGGTCTTTCTCTCTCTACAATACGGAATCTAAGACTTGAAAGTGTCTTAAAGGGATTGACTGACCTCGCTAGGATGCAAGAGCTTGTCTACTAGTGACAGCAGGTATGAAGGTTGAAAGATTGCCAAACTCTTTTTGCTCCCGTTGAAGTGCCGAAGCATTTTTCCCAACATCTCCATAAAGCCCTGCCGATTCAAACTTCACCCTCTCAGCTCATAAACACCACCCCAGCTCATAACCTCTACCCCATGGACCTCCCAGCTCATAACCTCGACCCTTTCTCACCTCATACGACGACTGGGTGGGAGAAGTCAGGCCCTTCACGAGCCTCTCACATGCGTACAACAAGTCCGGGAAGGACTCAACCTAAGAGGAGGAAAAAGCCTTACAAGCTTCATGTCACGTCGCACTCTCTTACCAGCTCCATGGAGCTCGAGTTGCTTCCTTTGGGAGATGTCTCGTTGCGACTTTCAAGACAAACGTCCGACAGAATCCGAACAAGTCTGATCAAGATGAACTTTCACTGGCTCTTCTCCTCGCTACTTGCCCGCTCTCCCCCTTCACCTGGCTTGCGCTTTCTGTCTTGTCTTGATATTTGGCGAGCAGATGTCGTTGCGCTGTCCAGCAGTCACAACGTCAAGAAAAGCACAACCCATGCAGTACAGGCCAACCTGTTCGAAGGGATCCCAGAACAGAGTCAAGATTGACTTGCGAGGAAGAGCTTGAGACATGTTGGAGCCTTCAAGGAATTGAAGGCAATCAAAACATGGCTTGAAGCGGATACTGATGAAAGCTTACCTGTCTTCAATGTCCAGTTCCTGCCTGCTATCCTGATGCATTTTCAATTAAATAGCAAGTACGGACCATAACGACGATGATGGACGTGATGATAGGGAATGAGGAGGAGGAGGTGGTGGTGGAGGAGGAGGAGGAGATGATGATGATGATGAAGGTACCATGGTGGTGGTGGTGGTGGTGGTGGTGGTGGTGTTGGTGATTATGATTATGATGTTGATGATGATGGTGGTGATGAAAAGGAGGGGTTGTTTCGATGGTTAGGAGTTGAGAGGGAGAAAACGGAGTTGATAGATATATGAGATCGAGGGAGATTCTGGCCACCTACCTCGGAAAGCTTGAATTCAGCTCTAAAGGAAGCGATCAGTTGGACTCTCGATTCTACAAGGAGTTTGACCTAGACTGCGAAGGTTCGTCTTCTTGTTGCTCAACTTCATTTTCTTCCTCGCTTCTTCCTTCATACGCCTTCTTGCCTTCATCGTCCAACATCACAAAGATGCTGGGCACAACAAGCCAACCTGTGACTTTGTCTCGGGCCCCTTCGGTTTCCTCATGGATCGTTTCTTGTCTATCTTAGCTTGAATAACAGGATTCTCGTATGTTTTCGGAGAACTTTCCTTCCTAGACGACATCATCATCAAGAAACATCTTCACCACCGCTATAAACTCATTTCATGTTACCTCTTTGACTTCTCTCCTCGATCCCCTTTCTTCATCTTCCTATCCTTCATTTCCTTCCCCCCTCGCAGCCGCAGGTCACAGCATGTGCACATCGGCGCTCCTCCTCCTGCAGCGCTGGCTCTCATGCCATGTCCGGCCTGCAAAGGAAGGAAAGAGCGACTAGGCTCCTTGCCCCCGGCATTCAGGGACAAGGCTAGGAAGCAAATCATAAAGATCCGCAGCGCCCTATCCGCATGAATGAGTACACTTGACTTTGAGGAAGGGAGAGGGTTCGTAGGCACCTTGTGCTGTCTTGATCGATAGACATCTTCATCCTACCTCAGCAATCATCTTCCCCGTCCTCCAGGCGATTCTTCCTCCTCCTCTCATTTCCTGTCCTCACTGTCAACCTACCTCCCCTCCCCTCATCTTCCATCTATCGAATATCCTCCTTTCCTCTATCCCCCCTCTCCCCAAACACACACCTCTCCCTCTCCTTTCTATGTCACAGCTCCATTCTCCTCCCTCATTCTACCATCTTCTCCTCTCCTCTCCTCTCCCCTCCCCT